CCCCGGCTGGCTTCAGTCTGTTGCTCCACCAGCTTATTACCTGTTTCAGTCAACTATTGCTGAATAACAAACCAACCCGAAACTTAGTAGCTTAAAACAATAACCATTTTTTTCTGACAGTTCTGTGGGTGAGCCGGGCAGTTCTGCTGGTCTTGCTGGCTCTCTCTTATGAACGCGTTTAGCAGAGGGGGAGCTGGAAGCTGGGCTCAGAAGTGAGGTCTGGGGGCGCTGGGCCTCTCTTTCCAAGTGGTCTCTCAAGGAGGCTGGTTTCTTCCCAAGCAGTCCCAGAGCAGCGTTCCAAGAAGGCAAGAGCAGAAGCCACAAGGCTTCTTGAGGCCTGGGCTTGGAAGTCATCCGATGTCACTTCCGCCACATTATCTTGGTCTAAGCAGGTCACAGGTCAGCCCAGACTCAAGCAGTGGGGAAGTAGATGCCACCTCTTGATAGGAGGATTGTGTTTTCATTGGGACCGTAACTGGCATCATCAAAGGAAGTCAGCTCCATTATCCAGAAAGATGTGGGAAGCTTCTTAATATCTACTAGTAATAACGACTAAGAAAACAAAACCCACTTACTATGTACTGGACACTGTGCTAAGGACTTCACAAGAACCCAATGAGGTAGGTGTTAGGGATGAACAACAATTTATTCCCCCGGGCTCCTGCTTCCATGTGGAGAGACAGAATTCCCTAGAGGAGAACTTTCTCACCCACCCCTATTTCCTCCTTCCCATGAGAGCAGTGACTCCTCTACTGGTGAATCTAAGAGAAGGAGCGCATTTCCTCCTCCTCGAAATCACAGAGCCGTGGGTAGAGTGCACTCTGTCTGCTCTGGGGGCAGGTGTGCCCTGTGGAGTAGACCTGCCAGGGGCTCAGTTCAATCAGAAGGAGGGGTATATTAGCCAATCCATTTGGTCCACCAAGATCACATTCTCCAAACAGCCTTACCGGTTGTAAATGAGTTATTTTGAACTCCATCTGCCTGGGTTTCTCAATCGTTTCTGAACTCAGGCAGAGAAAGGAGGGGTGTAATTTATTGGAACCTGTCAAATCCCAACAGCAAACACTATCAGCCCCTTTTCATTGAAAAGTTAAGTAATTTGTACAAGGTTGCATAGTTAACACTTGATGAAACCACATTCCAGAACCGGCCTTCTTGACCGGAAGCAGGACTGCCTTCACCCCCTCTCTCCCTGACTGCAGGAAGACATTTAACATTTCTGTCACCGTTTTCCTTCCTTCAACCAAGCCCATGTTAACAAACAAGTCGTTAACATCTTCTCTGTTCCCACTTACTCTTTTCATCTTGTGTGTCAAGCACTTGCAACCCAGAGGTCAACAGAGGCATCCTGACTTGAAAATTCAATTACAATTGGCTTGAAACCCCTCCCCTGCCATAAGTGTGGTGAAAGTCCTGAGTCCCTCCCGTTCCCCTGGATTTGGGGTGGGAGCACTAGTTTATCTTATTTTACCTTATTCGTAGTGGGTTGCAAGTCCACAATCCTACTTCCACCAAATTATAAATGATCTCACTATCTTATATGTGCTGTTTTTCCTTCACACTGTCCTCAGACCTGGAATAGAGATACATTGCTTTGATTTCCCCCCTTAAACAGCCCTTACACCAAATATTTGGGGATGAAGCAGACCTGACTGACGTGCAGAATGCCGAGGGAGTTTTGCACTGCTCAGGCCCCTCAAGCCTCTGCGGAGACCTGTAACTGTCCATCTTTGCTCCCTCCCACTCTGCACTTCAGTATGTAAAACTTCAAACATATCTAACAGAAGAGAGAATGTTATAATGAACCCTATGTTCCCATCACTTAGTTTCAACAATCACCAGCTCACGACAACACATCATTTCATCTACACTCTCATCCACTCTCCTGTTGGGATTATTGCGAAGCAAACTCCAGATACCACTTCACCCACAAATGTTTCAGCACACATCTCTAAAAGAACTGCTTTTAAAAGCAAACTGCCGTACCCATACCCTCCTAAATACAATTAATAGCAATTCCTCAATATCAGCAAATATCCAGTCAGGGTTCACATTCTCCCAGTCCCTCCTCTCTCACCCCTGGGCTTCAATCACACCTCATGGAGATGACTCGCACATATATATATACCTCCAGCAGATCTCCGGTCTCCTGGCTGAAACACAGACCCATATAAAGACTGCCTACCTGAACAGGGCCAACCACCCCATTGGGCACAGTAGGCCCAGTGCCTTCAGACCACAATGTTTTTAGCTCACAAAAATTCTTTAGTTCTTTTTAAATGAGAAGGAAAAAATGAACTTTTAGTAAAAAATGTCTTGATATATAATATTAGTATTTCCATCTTGGTATCACTGCAGTCATAAAACATGATTTTTAATATTATTTTAAGGAAGAAAGGACCCAGAAAGGCAAAAGTGCCTAAGGTCTGTGAAAGTCATAATGCAGCCCTGCACCTGACACCTCTTTTTACACGTCTCAAAGGCATCCGCTAATCTGAGTGTCCAGAACTGCACACCCGCTTCTCCACTCTCCTCTTCTGATCCTCTCCCAGTGTTGCCTACTGGGCCAGTGAAGGGCTCACTATTGTGTAAAGAGGGATGACCCACATGAGAACACACCAAGGCTGTTTATTCAGAGCTTGCTATAGCAAGGGAGTCAGCCACCACCACTTGCATTTGAGAGAGACTCGAAGGCAGAGGAGTGGAAAGCTTATGTTGGGGAGGTGTTGGGAGGGAGGCTTTGGGTATACTCTAATTAGAGGATGTTGGCCTGGGGAAATTGGAGACCAGCTAACTAGAAACAGGGCATTCTATGTGATTGGCTCAGGGAGTATATTTGGCTTTCTTTCTCTGGTTGGTCCTGAGTCAGAAGTGGGGGCAAAAAGTGGGCACCAATAAGGACCATTAACCAGATCCTGACCATTCTGGGCTGACTGGGGCAGAGGCTGTGGTTTGGATTCCTGATCTGGTTGCTGCAGAGGTTGTGAGTCAGATCTATTGTCATATATGGCCTGGCCATTGTCCATTTGTATATTCAGGCTCTCACTATCCATCTTGTTTCATAAGCTAGAAATCCAGGAATTATCTTGAATGCTTCCCTCTCCTCCACCCTAGATTCAATCCATCAACAAATCCTGTAAAAGTTCACCTCCTCAAATATCTCAAGTCTGTCATTTCTTTCCATGTCTACCACGGTACCACCAAATTATTTTCATCTTTCATTTGATCTACTAAATAGCCTCCTAACTTGGTGTATTTACCTCCACTGCCCTCTCCCCAATTTACTTTTCAAAGTAATTTTTGCAAAAGGCAATGCTGATTGCGTTATCCCTATGCTTAAATTACTTCAACAGCTCCAATTGGTTTTAGGATAAAGACTAAAATCTTGAACATAGGCCCCAGGGTCCCGTATGGCCTGGCTCCCATCCTCTGCCTCCTCTTGCATCATGCTTCTACTTTTTTCTTTCCATTTGAGCCACATTGGCCTTCTTTCAGTCCCTGATGCATCTGCCCACCTACCATGGGGGATTTACTGGAAGACTGGGCAGCTCCTGAGTCAAAGGAATAGCTGAAGGGCCAGGTCAGGGGCCAGGGCAGCTCCAGGGACACAGGTAGTAGGAGCAAAATGAAGTCTCTTTAGGGTGCTGCTACTGGGAATATCAGTTCCAACTATCCCCCATCACTTGTACCACTCTGCTTAAGATCCAAAGCCCTAGAGGACAGTTCAATGAGCCAGACCAGCTTGGGTACATGCCCAGCTCTTGGCCAGGACACCTTGAATAAAAGTCCCAATAAAGCTTTAAACAATGAAGAGAAAGTAACTCCCCGAAAGAAAATTGGGAGTTTTTACCAGGAAGAGGAATGATGCAGGGTGGTCCCCAATTCAACAAATGTCCACTAACCACATCTTTCCTCTACCTGGACTGACTTCCTGCTCCCTCTTTGGTTAGTTAATCCTACTCATATTTAGATTCCAGCCCAACTGTCCCTTCATTAAAGCAGCCTTGCCTTGCCTTCCCAAAGGAATCAAAGTTCTCTATCCTGTTATTTCATAGCACTATACCTTCTCCTTCATAGCAGTTGCCACTGCTGTAATTTTACGTTTATTTGTGAATGTCTGAATTACATCCATCTCTCCCAACTGGCTAAACAGTCCATGAGAGCAGAGCCCATATCCGCTGGCTTATCATGATACCTCAGGGCCCAGCACAATGCCCAGTGAAGCAAAGACACTCAACAAACATTCATTTGATGTATGAATCAAGCCATGAAGATATTTATTTTCCCAGTGATATGAATTATGCCACTCCTCCCTTAAAAGGCAAAAGTAGCTTCATTTTTAAACAAATTGATCTAATTCATACTTTATTACATAATTTTCCTATTTAATCTTTACAATAATGCAGCAGGAGCACACATTCCACATAAAGAAACTGAGGGACAGGGAGTTACAGAATTAGTTCAAAATCACATACCTGGTAAGTGATCCATGGGGGACACAAACCCAGGTCTGTCTGATTCCAAAACTCAAGTTCAAAACTACTATATGGTACTGCTGCCCCATAACACAAGTTAACTCCTTAACACAAAGGCCTCAGAGATAGAACTCATTTCATCTGTAAAATGAGTTTTCAAATAATTTCATTTTCCTGTAAATCTAGATAAAAATTGGTTTAATTTGTAAAATACTGATCCATGGAGAGAATGAAACAAATAAAAGACTCTGTGCAGATGCAATTTGACAAAATTATAACATGTACCAAATGCCCCACTTTTCTGTCATTCAGGATCAATGACACCGAGCATGAGGGAAGAAACAGAGATTGGTGGAGATGTGATCATTTAAGGTAACCCGTTCCCTAAATTTCATCCACAGATTATAAAAAACATTTTGAATTATCCAAAAAGGCCTCACCACGTCAGTGTTATTTCTCGGTAATGAGGAGAGGTTGGAAAAGTAACACAAAGAATGATTTCAATTCTCAGGACTTAGAGAAGGGAAGTGAGATCAGCAACTGGGGAGCACGGCTCTCACCAGCAAATATAAGGAAGATTGTTTCTTCAGGTCAGTCACGGCGATGAGACGGCCAAGATGCTTGTGAGGAGCCGGGAAGGATGAGAAGGCAGGCTGTCATTTTCTTTTTATTGCATGCTGGGGTCCCCAAACCTGCTAAACCGGTGATTACAGGTAACAGGAGCAACTGCTCCTTGTTGGTCACTCTGATGTTCCCTGAAGTCTCATATGTTTTTTGAGGGAGCAAGAGAATACAAACTGACCATACCAGAGTTGGGAACTAAGTCATCTAATGTGTCCTCTAGATACATAACTAGAGTTTGACTGATGTGGCTTTCTGTGTTTAATGCATAACAGGTTCTGCCAACTCTTGGATCCTCGGAGAACACTGTGCTTTCAAAGCAGCTGGCTTGACTTTAAAAACATCTGGATCGTAATATACAATACGCACAGGAGTCCTGAAATGGGAGAAAAAAGAATTCAACCTGAAATAAGATGAAGAGAAAATGGAACTAACATTTCTCAACTATCCACTCTGTGTTAGGTGCGATGATAGTATCGCATTTTGATTTTCATAAGCACCCCATGAAACAAGAATCGTGACCTCTACTATACAGATAAGGAAATGAAGGCTCTGGGAAGTCATAAGAATCTGCGGTCAAATCCAGATTTGTGTATCTGTCAGATTCCAAAACCTTTGCTCCTCCCACAGAAAGTAAATTCTGGAAATTTCTCAATAATTTGGAAATGTTAAAACAAGCCAGGCAGTCCTCTGGTGGACTTACAGAAATCAAATTTTTTAAGTTTCCACTCTTAGCACCTTACCACCAAATAATAACTTTGCCACCAGGATAGAACCTTGAACACTTGGTCTCACTCTTCCCTTTCCTTTCTCAATGAACAAAGGATGAGCTTCATTTCATTTGATGTTGAACTTTATTTTTTTTTTAAAGGAAAAACACATTGTAAAAATTTAAAAATATTTTATTATACACGAACTAACATATTTTCTGTTCCCCGAGCTCAAGACTTCTACAACTTTTTCAGCGTTTCCTAGGATTTCCTGAAGATGCTTAAAAAGGGGGATCAGATATATCCCTTGAAGGTAACACATGAATTGAGGTTCAGGCAAATTAAGAGGTCTTCTAAAAAATAAACAGGAAGTAGAGGCAATTTCTTCTTTGTTGAATATATTTTCTTATTTTTTTGAAATCAGTCATACATGGACATGATGAAAAACATTGAAAAACACAAAAGTCTAATGAGTGAAAAATAAGTCTTTCTCCCACTCCAGTGTCCTAGGCCCCCAAAAGTAACCGCTGTTACTAGCTTTTCTTATACTCTTCTGAGATATTATTGGCATATGCAGCAAATATATGGCACATAGGTATTTTTTTCTTACACAAACTGCAACATACTATGTGCTCTGTTCTGTAACTTGTTTCACTTAACAATATGTGTTAGAAAATAATCCCATATCCATACTCATAGAGTTGTCTCCCAGACCTAAGTTTCAATACTAGTCCACTAAACCTTTAACTGTTGCCTTATATTTATGGTAAGAAATGGTAAGACCATAGATTTGTTGCAATAAATCTAACAAGTGAGAGGGTTTTGAAAATTTCTTGTATTTCTACAATTCTTTTCACTGGCTTTATTAGGTCAACTTTTCCCTCTCCCTGCACCCTCAGCCTTTCTTGTCCCATCTTAGCCTTAAATTGACATACCTTTTATTTGGATTAGCTAGTTCCTCAATCCTGGGAGATACTTTGGAATGGATAGCAGCATAGGACACTGGCCAGTAGGCACCACGGGCAGGTAAATAATCTTGATGAAGAGGCTTGGCCTTAGCTAGAGCTATTATTCGAGGGCTAGGTGTGGCTAGCAAGGCAGTGCGGGATACCTATAGTGGAAACAAAAAGACAGAAAAATACATCCCAGAGTTCACCACGTCTCCCTCTCTTTACAGCCATATCCCTCATGGAGTCGCCACCATTTATCTCCTGGATTACTGCAACAGACTCCCAACTGGTCTCTCTGCTTCCATTCTTGCCCCTGTATGATCCCGCCTTCACACGGCAGTTACTGAGGGAGAGAACGAGTATTTTAACAAGTGCGTTCCATGAGCCAGACAGTGTCCCACGTGATTTACCTGTATCGTTCCCACTTCATCATCATAACAACTCTATGAGGTCAGTACTTTCTTTTTTTTTTTTTTTTTTAAAGATTTTTATTTATTTATTTTTCCCCCCAAAGCCCCAGTAGATAGTTGTATGTCATAGCTGCACATCCTTCTAGTTGCTGTATGTGGGACGCGGCCTCAGCATGGCCGGAGAAGCGGTGCGTCGGTGCGCGCCTGGGATCCGAACCCGGGTCGCCAGCAGTGGAGTGCGCTCACTTAACCGCTAAGCCACGGGGCTGGCCCGAGGTCAGTACTTTCTGAAGCCCAATTCAGATCATGTCACTCCCAGGGTTTAAAACCTTCTAGTGGCTTCCCGTTTTGCTAAGAATAACACAGGCTCCTTGCTGTGGCCTAGAAGGCCCTACATGATCTGGCTGCTCTTCCACTCCTACCTCATCTTCCTCCCTTTCCACCTTGATCACTATGATCCTAGCCACACAAGGCCCCTCTGGCCCAGCTCTCTTTATCTCAGGACCTTCAAACTTGCTAGTCCTTCTGCTTGAAATCCTCTTTCCTCAATCTTGTCATGGCCGCCTCTTCATTATTCAAGTCTCTAGACTCAAACATCACATGGTCAAGTTGTTCTCCCCTGAGCATCCAAGATAAATTAGCCTTTCTAATTACCCTTCTCTACAGCACTTATTTAATCTTCTTCATAAGACTTACCGACACCTGACTTAACTCATTTATCTCATTGTTGGTATGTTTATCGTCAGCTTCTCCCCATTGGAATATAAGCTGCTTCAGAGAAGTACTTGTTTGTCAAAAGCTAGACTAGGCTCTGGCACATAATTGGTGCTGAATAAACATATGCTGACTGACCGATCAACTCTTTTTTATCTTACTTGGAAAACCTCATCTACCAGGTTGCCTTTCTATGATGTTGCTTTATTGGTAAAATAGGAAGGCTGACACATAGCTACTATTCTCTCTCTTAAGTGCTCACTCAAAAGAATTAGGACGGACAATGAACACCATTCAGTGGCCCTGAAAGTGTTCTGTATTACATTGGTACAGATTTGTTTTGGGTTCTAAGAGTTTGTCCGCAGTGGTATCACTTTAAAAAAGAAAATATATATATATACACATTTTTTTGTGAGGAAGATCAGCCCTGTGCTAACGTCTGCCAATCCTCCTCCTTTTTTGCTGAGGAAGACTGGCCCTGGGCTAACATCCGTGCCCATCTTCCTCCACTTTATATGGGACGCCGCCACAGCGTGGCTTGCCAAGCAGTGCGTCAGTGCGCACCCGGGATCCAAACCGGCGAACCCCGGGCAGCCACAGTGGAGCGCGCGCACTTAACCACTTGCGCCAGCTGGCCGGGCCCCCAAAATATATTTTTTTAACCCCAAACAATCCTAACAATTAAAGAAAGAAGCCTGTAATTCTCATTTTACATACCAAAAAACTGAGAATAAAGTGATTTGCCTGAGGGTCACAAGGCAAGTCACTTTAGCAAACTCAAGACACTCTCCCAAGGGTTTCTGATTCCCAGACTAGTTTTCTTTTCTAATAGAATTCCATATCAAATCCTCAGGTTCCTAGAAAGAGGGTAAAATTGGTCCAACCTCCTTTGGCAACATGACCACTGGATACTTATTGAAAACTCAACTGGGATTCGGCACCAAGTTGCCACTACAATGAATGGAGGGGAGTGTCAAGAAGGAAGAGAGAGGGAAGCCTCTGAATGCACCAGGCTCTGTGCTGAGCACCATGCCTTATCTATTATTACAAGTCATAACCATCCCCCAAGTGGGAACTGTTATCTTTACTCATCTTGCTCCACCCAACTTCAAGGTCATCCCAACTTGAGGACTTTGACATGTCCTCTTCCCATTACTAGACTATTCTCTAAATATTCTCAGATCTTCATTTAGCTGACTCCTTCCGATCATTCAGGTTTCAGCTCAACTACCCCTTCCTTAGAGAGGCTTTCTCTGACTACCATATGCAAAGTAGCTAATAATTCCCCACCCCCACCCATAGTCACTCATTTCCTGTTTTATTTTCTTCATAGCACTTATCACTACCTGACATTGTCTTATCTGTTTACTTATTTTTTGTCTCTCACCATCTTGTTCACTGTGCATGGTGCCTGGCATACAGCAGGCATTCAAATACTCATTCAATGAATAAGGCTCAGGAAGGCTGTCACAACATCATAAAGCTAGTAGTGGTGAGGCTGGAATTTGAACTCAGCTCTTACTGACTCCAAAGCCCATGCTTTTTGCCTTCTACCTCCCAGTCTTTCTCCACCTCTTGCAGCTAGGTCTTCTTTCCTGCCACAGACCACTCTTTCAAGATTCTCTTTTCCAATGACTTTGGCCTTTGCCCTATAGAGGCAAAATAGCACCTTAGGAACAACCAGAAAGTGAGCTGAAGGATGCCAAGGCAGTGATGGCTTACAGGACGGATGGGCATTTCACTTCTTTCTCTCTCATAGCATAGACCCTCTATCTTGATCCTTGGTTGGGCAAGGTCTATAATTCTTGGAGTTGCGACCGCACTCAAGGCAGAAATTGAAATCTTGGTTTCAATCTAGGGGAGAAAAATAAAATAGTACCTGTAGGTATCAAATAATAAACACTGTCTCGATCAAGGTTACAAAGTACGGTCTGATCTCTGGACCAGACTTCTCAGCAAATCCAGCAGAAAGAATGAGAATCTTGTGGTAACCTGTGATCACAGCTGAAAGGATCAATTTCCATCTTTCTCAAACTAAGTTGTATGGATTTCAACGCAGCTTCTCAAGACCTTAATGTTAAACTAAAGATAGGGAGGAAATGGCAATGTTACATATTGACCAGGAAAAAAATGGTAATGCTGATTTGTGGAGTGATAAACTCAGCCAAGAGGGAAGGCTCAGCCTCACCACATGAGAACGCTATAAGGGGGAGAGCTCTGCTTTGTTCTTGCTATTTTTGCCCTTTTGAAACTGAGACTCATGTTATCACAAATCCCCCAGCTCAAAGTGAATTTAAGTGGCTCTCTTCTAATTGGAACAGTTAAGAAAAAGAAAGCAAAGCCAAGAGAAAGAAGGGCAGAGCCATATAACTCCATAGACAATGTTGTACTAGTCCCCAAGTCACTCCTCACTATCTTAATTGTGGAAATGTGTTCAAATTACATGGTCTTCTATTTAAATTACTTATATTCACACTTAAAATTTACCACAAGACTTTGAGGAGGAATATAATCAATAATTGGAAGTAAAATAGGGTTTCATTTGTGGGTGGGAAAATAATAAACAAAGTATATTCCAAATCCCTTTTTGTGTTGTTTAAAATATTGATGATGATACTAATGCTGACAGTGTTTTATATGTATTAATTCATTTATCCCTCACGTAGGGTATCATTTTTATTTCTATTTAACTAATGGAGAAACCAAGGTACTGTGAAGTTCAGCAATTTATTTAAGTTTATAGTTAGTAAGTGGCAGAGCTGGGATTCAAATCTAAGGTACAATACTATGAAGTACTCACAATTAAGCATTTCAAAGGAATAAAGCTCCTATCAGGCTCTGGGAAAATCAAAGAAATATATTACAACCACTGCCTTCAATTAAGGCTTACTATTGAAAAGGAAATAAAACAATCATTCATGAATTCAATTGATTAAACAAATATTTCTTAGCCAATTATATTATGTAAGACACAATAAAGAATAATAAAACAGTCCCTCTCCTTAATTTTCAACTTAGAAGGAATCACAGACCTATAGGCAAATCATTAAGATTATTGGATATCCATAGAAGAGAATAAATAAAATTTTGAGAGATATCAGAGGAAGGATGGAAGAATCGAAGAAAGATTCTCTTTTCAAGGATAAAGAGACATTAGATTGGACCTTGAAGGAAGGATCAGATTTTGACAAGCAGAGGGAGAAGGAAAGACAGGGAGGATGAAGGAAAGAAGGTGGAAAGGAAAGTCTGAGCACAGAGGCAAGAAAGCAAGGAGCAGATTTTGTCTGGTTATGCAGGAGATCAGGCTTGTAAATGCATTTGAAACTAGATTAGATGTGGCGGGCATTCTTCATAGCCAGCAAAGAACCATCAAATCTTTTCACTAGAGAGAAAGCATGATGAGAGTTGGAGATTAACCTGTCAGGCATGTGTGACTGAAGCAGGGACACAGGAAGCCATTTACTGCCCAAAAAAGAGAAACAGGGGTATACATACCCTACCCCATTCTAAAATATTTTTTAAAGTTACAATAATTTAAGCAAAATGATACTTGCACAAAAAGAGATCAACGTAACCAAATAGAGGAATTCAGAAATATAATCTAGTACAGTGGTTCTCAAATTTTTTGGTCTAGGGGCCGGGCCGGTGGCGCAAGCAGTTAAGTGCGCGTGCTCCACTGCAGCAGCCCGGGGTTCGCCAGTTCGGATCCCGGGCGTGCACTGATGCACTGCTTGTCAGGCTGTGCTGTGGTGGTGTCCCATATAAAGTAGAGGAAGATGGGCACGGATGTTAGCCCAGGGCCAGTCTTCCTCAGCGAAAAAAAAAAAAAAGAGGTGGATTGGCAGATGTTAGCACAGGGCTGATCTCCTCACAGGGAAAAAAAAAATTTTTTTTTGGTCTAAAGACCTTTTATACTCTTAAAAGTAACTGAGGGTTCCCCAAAACTGAGACATTTAAGAAAATTTATTATTTCATCTTAAATATAATAAACCCATTACCTGTTAATATAAATATTTTTATGACAAATAACTGTATTTCCCAAGATAAAAATGAATTGTGAGAAGATTGGTATATTTTACATTTTTGCAAATCTCTTTAATATCTGGCTTAAGAAGATACTGTTGTTTTGGTTGAAGTATATGAAGAAATCCAGCCTCACATAGTAGCTGGAAAAGAGAAGTGAAGCCTTTTCACATAATTGTGGATATTCTTCTTTGATACTACAATAAAACTTGACAAATGGTAGTTTTTTAAATATCTGTTGCAATGTACAATCTAAAATTATGTCAAGGAAATTTTCATACTCCATTATCTTAAAATCCTTTTGTCTACCTTGCATATTGAATGAACCTTTTACTCATGCACGATTTTGAACTTGCAGGTTACTTAAAACGATCTGGGCAAACTTTATACATACCTGGGCCACATTTTTGAAAACCAATGCCCTACTATAAATAACATTGTGGTATATAATCACTGTGGCAGTGAATAAATAAGGACTTGGACAACAGTAGTGGGGGGAGTCTTATCCCTATTTTATATAAAAATATAATTCAAATATATTGAGGAATTAACTACTTTAAAAATTAAAAGTAATCACAAAAATATCACAAGGCAGTGGAGGTGACCAGTGGTGTGCAGGTAAATGTTTAACAGCTAGCTCCTCAGAGAAAAAACACTGAGTTGTAGTGCTTGTCAATTTCTGTGGTTACCAGAGAGGAAGAGGGTGGGGGACGACGAAAGAGGTAAAGGGGCACATGTGTACGGTGATGGATAAAAACTAGACTATTGGTGGTGAACACGATGCAGTCTATACAGAAGCTGAAATATAATAATGTACATCTGAAACTTACACAATGCTATAAACCAATATGACCTCAATAAAATAATTAAAAAAAACTTCTAGAATTATAAATAGAATAATAAAACTTGCAAGCTAAACTTAAAAGCCTAAGAAAGGAATAGATTTTTAATCTGAAATTTAAAAAATTGACTATTCCTTATTTAAATCTAGAGCATACCTCTGAAGTGTCTTTTCTGCATACAAAACCATGCTCCAGGATACCAAAAAACTCACATCATTGGGTGTGGCAGTTGTTTTTCTTAAGTGGCTATAAATTCTTTGCCACTTCTCTCATTGAGAGGTGGGGTTGTGTCCCTGCCCCCTTGAATCTGGCCAGACTTGTATCTGCATCAATGAACCGAGTATGACCGCAGTGACATTACGTGACTTCCAAGGCCAAATCATAAAAAAACATGCAGCTTCCACCTGGTTCTTTTGGAATGCTCACACTCCGAACACTCTATTTTAGGACATTCCTTCTCAGAATACAGCTGCCTTGCTGAGAGAGGTCTAAGACACATGAGGAGGCCATCTGAAGGTGCTCCTGAAGATACTCCCAGCTGAGTCTAGCTTTCAAGTTATCCCAGGCTAGGCACCACACACAGGTGTTGTTATGGACTGATTGTTTATGTCCCTCCCCGCAAATTCATATGTTGAAACCCTAACCTCCAATGTGATGGTATTAGGAGGTGGGGCCTTCAGGAGGTAATGAGGTTTCCATGAGGTCATGACTGTGGAACCCTCATAAATGGGATTAGTGTCCTTACAAGATATGAGGAAGAGAGATAAAAACTCATTCTCTCTCTCTCTGTGCTCACACAAAGAAGCAGTCATGTGAGCAAACAGCAAGATATTGGCTGCCTGCAAACGGAGAAGAGGGTCCTCATCAAGAGAGAGTCTGCTGGCAACTTGATCTTGGATTTCTGAGCCTCTAAACCATGAAAAATAAATGTCTGCTGTTTAAGCCACCAGTCTATGGTATTTTGTTATAGCAGCCCAAGCTGACTAAGACTGGTGTGAAGGAGCCTTCAGCCCCCTACCATTTCAGACACCCAAGCCATTAGAGATATCCCAGCTGAGGCCCCAGACACTAGCAGAGACAAAAAAGCCATACCTACTTGCCCTGTCAGAATCTCTGACTCATAAAATTCTTGGGCATAATAAAATGCTTGTTGTTTTATGCCACTAAGTTTGGGGGTGGTTTGGTACGAAGCAACAGATAACCAAATCAGAACTTTAAGGATGCGTCCTCTGTACTGGTCCTAGATTATCTGGAATTTGTTGTCTGAGCTGATTAGATTTAAAGGTATTAATGATCCTATTGCCAGTGGTTAAAAAAAAAAAAAAAAGCACTGGTAGTCCATGGCATGCAATGGCAAAACAGAAAGCAAGACTTTGGGAGACTAAGCAGCTGCTGCCAGAGAACATTTTAGGGAAATAAAGAAGTATAGTGGGGTTGGTTGGTTGCTTCTAAGTGCACTGAAGAACGTGAGGAAAGAAATGATCAGCTCAGGACTTTAAATTCCCACCTTAAGGTCTGGGTAGGGACCAGAAAGTTTTCACGCCTCCCCTAAAAGAAACCCTTATCATCTATGGTCACAGGACTGAAAATTCTGAAACCAAACTCAAAATCTAATTCTGTGCTTGGGTGAATTACAGTGTAAATTGAATCCCCAAACTTTTACGGTCTCCTATATTAAAGCTAAGGCAATGATTGAGAAGGAAAGGGACCCTGAAAATTGGAATGAGGATATAAGGGCAGATTCCAATGAAGCTGGGGACTTGAAACCCCTCAACACTGCTGAGCCTTCCTTACCAAGAGAATCAGCCCTTCCTCCCCTGCCTGAGGAGGTCAGATTCCCCTTGCCTGAAGAACCTGTAACAGGTTCCCCTTAAGGAAATACCTTCCAGGGGACTGCTGACCTACCCCTACTCTCTCTCATTGCTTCTAGGTCTACAACCAGACCCAAGTTTCAACTGCCATAACAGCCTTCCATAGACTTCTCCATCAGCTCCCATACTTGCTTAACATCTAATTCTATATCATCATAGTTGTTCTGCTTCTCTGTTCAAATCCTGCCTAATACATTAGGCACAGGGGAGGTAGTCAGAAAAGTTCATTTGATGAGAGAGGAAAATAAACAGGAAGAAAAGGAAAATACATACCTAGAAATGAGGGTAGCATGTTACAGTTACAGACATGTTACATGTTACAAAATCAACCAGGAACTGTTTCTTTCACACGGACCCACTTACGATTTTTGGAGGAACATAGTTTGGATTTATGCCTTTGGCTATTGAGAGTCGTAATATCCGGGGAGAAGGATCAGAGATTTGAAGAGACTCTCTTGTTAAGTAATCACTGAAGGGCCTATATGCAAAGGGAACATGAAATATTATAATCATGGGAGGAAAAATAACTGCATTTTTCATTGTTATAAACAACCTTTAATCAATTATATACATTGTTTCTATCTTAGGCACATCTTTTGTCATAAACATTAGTGCTCTTTCTACCAGATTGGTGTTTCTCAAAAATTTTTTACTATGATCCACAGTATGAAGTACATTTTACACTGTGATACAGTATATGCAAATCTGTGTGTGTGTGTGTGTGTGTGTGTGTGTGTGTGTATCTGAAACAAAATTATCATGAAACAATGCTTGCCCTGGGCAACGTATTCTGATTTTTAACGTTTCACTTAAAAAAAACTGGAATCAATTTCATGATCCACTGATGGGTTGAGATTTGTAGTTTAAAAAACACTTCACTTCCTACCAAAAATTCCAGTCACTACCAAGGAACCCTCTGTGATGGCCAGTCTCCTCTGCAGTGCAGTTTGAAATAGCACTGGTCATGACTCCCAGCAACCTGGCCAATTTTCATAGGCTGTTCCCCACATATTCCTTTCCTGGAACAAAAACTCATCAACCAACAAACCTAAAAAGCTAATATGGAAAAAGTTTTTCTCAAATAAATATATGATTATGCTCTAGGAGTAGTTTGTGTTAGTTTTTTTAATTGATAAATAACTAACATACATAGAATTTACCATTTTAAAGTGTACAATTCAGTGGTTTTTAGCATATTCACAAAGTTGTGCAACCATTACCACTATTAAAATTCAGAACGTTTTCATCACCCCAAAGAGAAACTCCATACTAATTAACAGTCCCTCCCCATTACTCCATCTCCCCCCACCCTACCAGGAACCACTAATCTACTTTCTGTCTCTCTAGATTTGCTTGTTCTGGATATTTCAAATAAATGGAATCATAGAAATATGTAGCTTTTTGTGTCTGGCTTTCTTCATTTAGCATGCTTTTAAGATTCATGTATTAGTACATCATTCCTTTTTGTGGCTGAATAATATTCCATTGTATGGATTTGCCACATTTTGTTTATCCATTCATCCATTGATGAACATTTTAGTTGTTTCCACTTTTTAGCTATTACGAAATGCTACTATGAATATGCATGTACAAGTTTTTTGTGAACATATGTTTTCAATTCTCTTGGGTACATGCCTAGGAGTAGAACAGCAGATCACATGATAACTCTAGTTGTAACATTTTGAGGAACTAGAACACTGTTTTCCATATAAGCTGCACCATTTTACATTCCCATGAGCAATGTATGCGGGTTTCAATTCCTCCACATCCTCATCAATACAAGTTATTTTTTGTTTACTAATTAATTATTATTATTGTCATTCTAGAAGGTGTGAAGTAGTATCTTGTGGTTTTAAGGTGCATTTCCAAGATGACTAACAATATTTAGCATCTTTTCGTGTGCTTCTTGTTCATTTGTATTTCTTCTTTGGAGAAATGTCTATTCAAATCCTCTGCCCATTTTCTAAATTGGACTGTTTTTCCTACAGTTCTAAGAATTCTTTACATATATTCTAAATACTAGTGTCTTATCAGACATATGATTTGTAAATATTTTCTCCCAATTTATGGGTTGTCTTCTCACTCTCTTGATAGTGTCCTTTGATGCACAGAAGTTTTTCCTTTTGATGAAGTCCAATTTATTAATTTTTTGTCACATGTGTTTTGACGTCATATCTAAGAAACCATTGCCTAGGTCACAGAGATCTATGTCTGTTTTCTTCTAAAACTTTTATAGTTTAAGCTCTTATATTTAGGTCTGTGATCCATTTTGAATTAATTTTTGTGAATGGTGTGACGTAGGGGGTCCAACTTCATTCTTTTGCATGTAGATATCCAGTTATCCCAGCACCATTTGTTTAAGAGACTATTCTTCCCCAATTGAATTGTCTTGGCAGCCTTGTTAAAAATCAATCGAGCACAGAAATAAGGGTTTATTTCTGGACTCTCAATTCTATTCCATTGATGTCTATGTCTCTCCTTATACCAGTACCACACTGTCTTGATAACTGTATGTAGTTTTTCAGTAAGTTTTCACAGCAGGAGCTATAAACCTTCCAACTTTGCTCTCCTTTTTCAAGATTGTTTTTTGCTATTCTAGATCCCTTTCATTTCACGAATTTTAGAATCACCTTATCAATTTCTACCAAAAAAGGCAGCTGGAATTTTAATAGGGATTACACTGAATCTGTAGATCAATTTGGAGAGAACTGCCATCATAACAAAATTAAGACTTCCAATCCATTAACAGGGAACGTCTTTCCATTTATTTAAGTCTTCAATTTCTTTCAACAATGTTTGTAGTTTTTAGTGTACATGCCTTGCAATTCTTTTGTTAAGTTTATTTCCAAGTATTTTGTTCTTTTATTATTTTTAATTGTAGTGAAATACATATAACATAATATTTACCATCTTAACCATTTTTAAGTGTACACTACAGTAGTGTTAAGTGTATTCACACTGTTGTGCAACCAATCTCTAGAACTCTCTTCATCTTGCAAAACTCTATACCCATTAAACAACTCCTCATTTCTCTCACCCCCTAGTCCCTGGCAACCACCATCCTACTTTCTGTCTTTATAAATTTGACTACAGTTGGTATGGCATATAAGTGGAATCATACAGTATTTGTCTTTTTGAGACTGGCTTATTTCATTTAACATAATGTCCTCAAGGTTCATCCCTGTTATAGCATGTGTCAGAATTTCCTTCCCTTTTAAGGCTGAGTAATATTCCATTGCATGTATTATTATGTTCATTTTGATACTACTGCAAATGGAATTGTTTTTTTAATTTCATTTTCAGATTGTTCATTGCTAATGGATAGATACACAATTCTTTTTTGTATATTGATCTTGGATTCTGTGCTTTTGTGAACTCATTTATTAGCTCTAATAGTTTTTATGTGTGTTCTTTAAAATTTTCTATACACAAGATCAGGTCATCTATGAGTAGAGATAGTTTTACTTCTTCCTTTCCAACCTGAATGCCTTTTATTTCTTTTTCTTGCTCAATTGCCCTGACTAGAATCTCCAGTATGATGTTGAATAGAAGTGATGAGACCTGACATCCTTGTCTTATTCCTGATCTTAGGGAGAAAGCACTCAGTCTTTCAACATTAATTATGATGTTAGCTGTGGGTTTTTTATAAATGCCTTTTATCATATTGAGGAAGTTCCCTTCTATACCTAGTTTGTTGAGCATTTTTATCACAAAAGTGTGTTGAATTCTGTCACATGATTTTTCTGAGTCTATTGAGATGATCATGTGGTGTTGGGGTTTTTTATCCTATTAATTTGGTGTATTACTTCGATTTTAGTATGTTGAACCCAACATATTCTTGCATTCCTTGGATAAATCCAACTTGGCCACAGTGTAAAATTATTTTTATATGTTGTTGGATTTGGCTTGCTAGTATTTTGGTGTGGATTGTTGCAAGCATATTTGGATTTGGTTTGATAGTATTTTGGTATGGACCATTACATGTATATTCAATAAGAGATATTGTCTTTTGTTTTCTTCTCTTGTAATGGATTTTTCTGGTTGTGGTATCAGGGTAAAACAGACCTCATGGAATGAGTTGGGAAGTGTCTTATTTTTTGGAAGAGACTGAAGGATTGGTGTTAGTTCTTCTTTGAATACATCATAGAATTCATCCATGAATACATCTGGTCCTGAGCTGTTTGTGGCAAGTTTTAAAAATTATTAACTCAATGTCTTTACTTGTTATAGATCTGTTGAGATTTTCTATTATTGAGTCAATTTCAGTAGTTTTTCTGTTCAAGAATTTGCCCATTTCATCTAGGTTATCTAATCTGTTGGCCTTACAGTTACTCATAGTAATCTCTTATAATCTTTTTTACTTCCAGAAGGTATGTAGTAATGATCCTTATTTTGTAAATGACCCCTTAGAAAGATCTCCTCTTTCCTGATTTTAATAATTTGAGTCTTTTTTCTTTTTGTCTTGGTCAGTCTAGCCAAAGGTTTATTTTGTTTATCATTCCAAAGAACCAACTTTTGGTTTTGTTGATTTTCTGTTTTTCTAGTTTCTATTTCATTTATTTCCACTCACAATCTTTATTATTTCCTTCCTTCTGCTTGTTTTGAATTAGTTTGCTTGTTTCTATTTGTAATTTCTTAAGATGGAAGATTAGGTTATGATTTGAGATCTCTTCTTAATGTAGGCATTTACAGCTAAAATTTCCCAGTAAGCACTACTTTAGCTGCATCTCATAAGTTTGGTATGTTGTGTTTTCATTTTTATCCAAGTATTTTCTTCTTTGACCCATTTTTGTTTTTCCTTGTGATTACTTCTTTGACCCACTGTTTGTTTAAGAGTGTATTTAATTTCACATATTTTTGAATTTTCCAAATTTCCTTCTGTTATTGGTTTCTAATTTCATTCCATTGTGGTCAGAGTACTGATTTTGTATGAATTCGATTCTTTTAAATTTATTGAGACTTGTTTTATGACCTAATATATGATCTATCCTAGACAATGTTCCATGTGCACTTGAGAAGAATGTGCATTCTGCTATTGTTGGATGGAGTGTTCTATAAATGTCTGTTAGGTATAGCTGGTTTATAGTGTTTATCAAGCCTTCTATTTCCTTACTGATCTTCCACTTGTTATCCTTCCCATTACTGAAAGTGGGATATTGAAGAATCCAAATATTATTGTTGAATTGCCTATTTCTCTCTTCAGTTCTATCAGGTTTTGCTTCATCTATTTTGAGGCTCTGTTGTTAGGTGCCTATGTGTTTATAACTGTTATTTTTTCCTAATGAATTGACCATTACTATAAAATGCCCTTTTTTGTCTCTAGTAACAATGTTTGTCTAAAAGTCTATATTGTCTGATATCAGTAGAGCCCCTGTAGCTCTTTTTTGGTTGGTTTACATAGCATATTTGTTTTTATCCTTTTACTTTCATCCTATTTGTTTCTTTGAATCTAAGGTATGTGCCTTGTAGACAGCATATTATTGAGTACATGTTTTTTTTATCCACTCTGTCAATCCCTGCCGTTTGATTGGTGTATTCAATTCATTTACATTTAATGTAATTACTGATAACATAGAATTTATGCCTGCCATTTTCCTGTTTGTTTTTTATATGTGTTACATCTTTTTTGTTTCTCTATTACTCCATTCCTCAATTCCTCCATTCCTCCCTTCTTTTGTATTAGATATTTTCTGGTGTATCATTTTAATTCCCTTGTTATTACTTTTACTATATTTAAAAAATTATTTTCTTAGTTGTTCCCCTGTACATCCTAGCTTACAACAATCTAGTTCAGATTAACACCACTCCATTCCCTCCCTCTCCTTTGTGCTGTTTTTTCTAATACATTGTATGCCCATCAACACAGATTTAAAATTATTGCTTTATGCAGTTATCTTTTAAATCAGGTAAAAGACTAAAAGAGTTACAAACAGAAAAATACATTTACATTGTCTTTTATATTTACCTATGTAGTTAACTCCATTGGTGTCCTTTATTTCTTCATGCGGATTTGAGTTATTGTCTAGTGCCCTTTCATTTTAGCCTGAAGGACTCCCTTTAGCATTTATTGTAAAGCAGGTCTGCTGGTGATGAATTTTCTCAGTTTTTGTTTATCTGAGAATGTCTTAATTTATCCTTCATTTTTGAAGGATAGTTTTGTTAGCTAGAGTATTCTTGGCTGACAGGTTTTTTTCTTTCAGTGCTTTAAATATGTCATCCCACTGCCTTCTGGCCTCTATGCTTTCTGATGAGAAACCACCTGTTAATCTTATTGCAGATCCTTTGTATGTGATGAGTCTCTTCTCTTTTACTGCTTTCAAGGTTCTCTCTTTGTCTTTGGCTGTGGAGAGTTTGATTATGATGTGTCAAGTGGTGGATGTCTTTGAGTTTATCATACTTGACATTTGCTGAGTTTCTTGGATGAGCAGATTAATGTTTTTCATCTAATTTGAAAAGTTTGGGGCCATTATTTCTTCAAATATTCCTTCTGCCCCTTTATCTCTCTTCTCTCTTTATGGGATTCCCATTATGGGTATGTTGATACTTTTGATGATATCCCACAGGTCTATGAGTCTTTGTTAATTTTATTTCATTCTTTTTCCTTTCTGCTTCTCAGATTTGATAATCTCAGTTGACCTACCTTTAAATTTGCTGAGTCTTTTTTCTGACTGCTTGAATCTGCTACTGAGTCCCTCTGGTGAATCAGCTAAAATATATGTCACAAAGTCCAAGCTCATGTAGTACACTTATTGGAGAGCCCTGTGTGTCTTCACTAAGCACTTGCTTTTTCCCCCTCACACAATCCTAACAAGCTTGGTTATCCCTTTCCAATGTACCGAAGACCAAAAAAGAGGCTGGTTAGAGACTATTCCCCTGACAAAACAAGAAATGACAAGAAAATTAAGAGAAGTGAATATCTCATGATCTCAAAGCATAGAAGTCAGACCACTTAGCCTAAAAAAACTGTGATTTGTACTTAAACAGCTCCTGAGTGGTTTTCTATATTAAAGTATAACAGTTGATGTTCATAATAAAGACCTCAAGCCAGTGAACAAAAGTTACATGTACCTTCAGTAGCAGAAAAATCTACTTAGGACAGCTGGGAAACAAACTTTTAAAAATATAAAAAGTTTTAGCTCTCTATGGAGTTTCACTTATACGAAACATCAAACTCAGGTCTCTCAAAAAGTGACAGATAAATAAAGTATTCCTCTGTTTTTTAAATATAGATAGACAACTACCAAATTTATATGTGTATTTTAACTAAATTAGCAGATTTTATTGAATGAACTGATAAATAAGCAAATGAAGACATTTTGTGGGAGGAATTGGGCCTCTTTTGCTGGAATCTATGATGGAAAAAGACTCAAGTTGTCCCATTCAACCTCTCTCTGAATGCAGGAATCTTTTCTAAAATCCATGTAAAGTCAGCATTCCAGCCTGTGCTTGAACACTGTCAGGGATCAGAGTGGAGACAGCAGTTGACTTTTCCAGATAAACGTTTCCATGGCTGGATAGCTAGTCAGAAAGATTTTCCTATACTTAGCTGATATCTGCTGCTCTGTAAATTCCTTGTTCTACATCTAGTTCTAGGATCAACATAAAGTAATTTTACTTCTAGCTTCTCTTCCCCTTTCAGATGCTGACCCTTTAAACCTTTAAACACAGCTATCACTGCTTCCTTGGTCTCTTTTCTAAGCTAAACATGTCATTTCTCTTAACTATTTTTCTTTCTTTTTTTTTCTTTTGGTGAGGAAGATCAGCCCTGAGCTAACACCTGTCACCAATCCTCCTCTTTTTGCTGAGGAAGATTGGCCCTGGGCTAACATCTGTGCCCATCTTCCTCCACTTTATATGGGACGCTGCCACAGCATGGCCTGACAAGCAGTGCATCGGTGTGCGCCCAGGATCCAAACCTGGGCCGCCAGCAGTGGAGCACAGGCACTTAACCGCTATGCCACAGGGCTGGCCCCCAACTTAACTATTTTTCATATAACACAGTTTCTAGAAGCTTCAATATCTCAGTAATCTCCTCCTGAACAGTCTCAAATTTATTATCAGTTTCTTAAGGTATAACATCCATATGTGGACACATACACCTAATGTGTTCCTACTGAAGTAGTGTACAGTAGTACAGTCACCTTGCTGTAACTGTACACTGCACATATTCTATTAATGCAACCTAACATTTTTCCAACAACCACATCACAATCTTAGCTCCTATGTGAAAGGTATCACCTAACCTGTCTTTTAAAGACAAGGAGAAATTCAGCATTCAATGCAAAAGGAAGGGCACTGAAAAGTCACAGCGGCATAAGAGAACATCAAGTTCTACAAATTGCAAAAACCTGTAATGTTTCATCTGTGTATTTCCTTTTGATTGGCCAACAATGGTAAATTTAGTGTAAATTTTAGCTTCACCACAAATTTGATCAAATGTAATTATGGATGATGACCTTCTGATTACCTACAATTGCTGCAAATATTTGATTTTTTACCCTGATCCTTTGAAACACAAGTGGACTTTTAGTTTATGAAACTGCATATACTAAAAGAAGAACAACAGTACTGTGACATTTAACCAAATTAGATTAGAATTTATGGAATTCTCAAGGTACTCTACCTATTTATTAGATACTCTTTCTTGAATCTTTTGGGCTGTGCCAGCTTCTGGATCCTTTTGGAAGGTTGGCTAAACAGTGCGGGAGAAGGGATCTCCCAGATTACAGACTCTCTACCACATCCGTAGTAATATTGAGCCCTGCAAGTTGTAGAAGAGTAAAGAATTGGGTGAAACAAGCATGAATTTAAATTATCATAGTAATTTCCAACACTGACCCCTGGGTCTAGGGGAGCAGGTACGACAGTTTACCCCTTTACTGCTGAGCTATTTTCCACATGGGGAGAAATTAGAAATGTTACGGCCATCAACTTTTCAGCTGGCTTCTAATATCCTATTCCAAAACAGACAATTTTCTGTAATAAATAACTTGCATCTTCTAAATAGACCAAAAATATACAGATGAAAAGAGAAAAACCAAATACTTTCTTAGCCTCCAATAGATAATCACTAGAGATTGGACAGATATTAAAAGGAAAATAAGACAATATATGAACAACTTTAGGCCAACAAATTTTAAAACTTGGATGAAATGGATAAATTCTTTGAAAGACACATACTACCAATGCTCATTTAAAAAGACATAATCTGAATAGCCCTTGTCAAGAGTTTAGCTAAGCTACTCCATGGTATTGTTGCCTCGGCATCCGTTTTGTTTGGCTAAGCAGCCTGCAGCGACAAACTGAAACTAGCCACTCATGTAAGCACATGCCCTAGGCAGCAGCCTGCAGAGTTACAAGTAAATGCACGTTCCTGATGTGACTTCCCCAACAGCCCTTATGACCAAGTCTCCCCTGACTCCCAATGCCTCCCCCTTCCACACCCCTTAGACAAGACTCCCAAGGAGTTTACCAAAATCCTGCTCTTTTGGTTTGAATTGACCAATCTGGCCTTAGCCCAGGAACCCCAAAGCACTCCACCTGGGTCCCTAATTCAGGCATATGCCCCAGGCCCTGCCTCTCTCTGTCTGCACTCTGCCTTGACCTCCCTATGTGGCCCGATATGTGCCAGGTACTTCCTCTAGGACTTGTGAGTAATAAACTTCTATTTCAATTTCTGTTGTGGTCTGTTGTTGAACTGTGGCCCTGCACTCCACTTAACAAGTGTCGATTTGACAAATTCATAACAGCCCTATATCTACTAAATAAATTGAATTTATAGTTAAAAACCTTCCCAACAAAAAACTCCAGACCCAGATGACTTCATTGGTGGATTCTACCAAATGTATAAAGAAGAAATAAATACCAATTCTGTACATTTTTCAATTGATTCTATGAGGACAGCATTACCATAAACAAAGAAAGACATTACAAGAAACAAAGACATTACCAGAAAACTACGGACCAATATCCCTCATGAACATAAATGCAAAACTTCTACAGTTTTATTGGAACACAGACAGGCTCAGTTTACATAATCTCTATGGCTGCCTTCCCGCTACAATGGCAGAGTTGGGCAGTTGCAACAAGGACTTTGTGATCAACTTTACCATCAACTTTCCGGCCCCTTACAGAAAAAGTTTGCTGACTTTTGACTAAAGTTGTACATTAAAAGAGATAGAGAAATGGCCACCTCAATTATCTTGGAAACCAAACTTCAGATAAATAATAGTATCTTCACCTTTTTCTTGTTACTTTAACCTCCCTCACTGCCTGAACCCATCTCCTCCTCCACCCACAGTCTTTCCTCAAAGAGACAACCAGCAGCAAGCCTAGTCATTCAACAAGCATGCACTAAAAGCAAAGTGGCAATGGGCATCAAAAGCCTTAACACTATTCTTACCTTTAGATATAGTAATTATCTCATGGTAATCAAAGCCATGGGTGGTATACAAAATTCATGCACTAAGAAGTTCATCCACTGCAATGTTATATATAGTACATATCCTTGCCCAATACCCTAACTTTTTATACAAAATTAAAATTCTGATAAGCCAAAACATTATAAGATATAATACAAGTCTGCAATAGTTAAATATTAGATCTTGCTCTGGAAAAGTTTTACTGTAGCATCACATTGGAAACAGATATAGAATCCCTAATCCTCAATAAGTTTTAACTATAGATGGGATAATTTATGGCTTTTAAATAAAAGGGCTGTTCATTCTCCCTAGAGACTCCTGATAAAGTAACCAGATCACACACCAACACTAACCTGTTAGGTACATATCGGTGGGAGACTTCCTTGGGCTGGGCGAGGTCCTCAAGTCTTCTGGTCAGCTGAGCCTTCAGAGTACCCTGGGAAACAGGGCGAATAGGATCTTGATTCCCCCAAAACAGTTTTCTGTTAAAAAGCAGAAAAATAAAATAAGGAACTCATTACTAATGGACATCTTAGAAATGGCTCTTCACGGCTTCCACGCTGATTTTACTTCACTTCCAGAACGATCTCTATTACAGAATCTTAAAATTTTCAGGCATTAGAAACAGATAAACTACACATGGAAGTTAAAATAAGAATAAAATGAGACTGTTTTAGCTACTGTCTTAAAACATGGCGACCAAAAATGAACCTATTAGAAAGAGCTCTGTTTCTGCCATCATATAATTAACACTGTAATTTATAATCAGGTTGACCTAAAATGGGCATGCCACCTATCTACACTGCTCTCCCTCTTTGGATAAAGCCGTGTACCGGATCCGAAAATAAAACAGCATCAGGGTAGTAGTAATAGCTTTCATTTGTGGAATATTTACTGTGGTCTAGGCACTGGGCTGAGTGCTTTACAGACATCAAATCTTTTAGCCTCAACAGCCCTGTGAAATAGGTATGATTATTGTGCAGGAGGTGAAGAGAAAAGGAGAAATCAGCCCAGGAGTAATCTGAAAAGGCTTCATGGAAGAAAGTACAAGGCACAGACTGTTAGAAATGAGGCACATTCCACATTGGTGCAACCATGAGAAATGGGGAATAATCAAGTATCGGACAAGGCATGTTTGAGCAGAGGCAGAAAGTCATGTTGGGAAGTAATTAAGTAACATTGCTGGAATGGGTGGGGAAGGCAGAAGGCAGCCTTGGAGGCCCAGTCGAAGAGTCAGAAAAAGGTACCTGGGCAACCTGACTTTGCACATAACTGAATTTGCCAACTAATTGAGTTTACCCTTTTAAAAGGCCCTAGTTTTTTATTTCTTTGTGTATATTTTTGATATGTTTCCCCACTCTGTGTCAGCCAGAGTCACTATTAGAAATATTAATTAATTAAATTAATTAAACCCTCATCCCTTACATTCTGCTGATTCCATTTCCTAAATATGGCTCAAATCTGTCCATTTCTCCTCATCCCCATCGCTCTCTCCCTTGTCAGATCCCATTATCCCCACTCTGTTTTCCACACCACTCCCAGAGTGATCAAGTCACCCCCTTGTTTAAGACACTTCAAAGGTTTCCACTGGCTTTAGAATAAAGTCCCAAATCCTGACTGTGGCTTACAAAGCCCTCCACAATTCGGACAAAGAGAGCCTGCCTCTCTAGCCTGTCTGTTCTTCCAGGGGAGGGATCATGTGTTAATCTTTTGGAGATTTCCGCCTTGCATAGTTTAGTGCTGTACATGACAGTTGCTCAATCACAGTTTGATGATTGAATGAAGGGCGAAAATTGGGGACCCACCTGATGGTGATGTGACACACAGATTAGAGAAGAGAGAATGACCACAGGGAGAGTAAGAGGCTGAAGCAGAAGTTGGGGCCTCAGGCGAGGAGGGCCAGAGTGGGAGTGACAGCGGGAAAGACAGTAACTATGCTTCCTGAAGAAAAGACTGGTGGATAGAGGGAAGAGCACCATGGAAGGGGAGTCAGGAGAGGAAGATTTCGAGACAAGATGGATGAGATATATCAAAAAGCATCAAACGTAACTTAGACATCAAAAAGGATGGAAACCGGAAAAAAGAAAAAGGACAGATAGTATTTGGCCAGGAGAATAACAGTGGTAACAGAAAAAGTGAAGAGTGCCTTAGGGGCAAACACAAAAGTTCAGGTGAAGAGAGGCTAAGGGGGCCAGGGATTAGGAAGTGGGGGTGACGGATAATATACTGGCTTTGTATTCATTTTTCCAAATTCAAAGCAAAAGTTACTTTAGACACAACAATTAAATCAAGTCCATAAAATATGGTCCTGATGATGCCTTCTAGGAACTGAACCCTCAAGAAATTAGTGCTGCTTGAAAATTCTGGCCACAGAAACTAGAAAACACATAGTGTGAACTAAAAGCATTGAGGATTATGTAAAAGGCAGGAGATTCGGCTCAATGTAAATTAGAAGAAAAGGATCAGTGGGGTGAGAGAGACTGTACAGTCAAGAAAAATGTGGATGCAAAGTTCATCAGGAAGAAGGGAGACTAACAATGTTAAAGTGGCATATTACGCAGATAATTCTTCACTCTACCATATCAGCATTTAAAAATCACCTGTGTTTAACTGTTACATGGCTAGCAATATCAAGGAAATTACATTTTAATCTTCTATGGTCCATATGAAGGACTTGACCCTAGAGCATAGGATTCTTATCCATATCATACCTGTTCGAAGGATCCATGAAATATAACCAAGTGTGGCACAATCACACCCTAGAATTCTAGAATGGGGAACTAGAAGGGTTCTTGAGAGTTCTGTGTTCAGTCACTCCTTTCTGAACAGCTAAATCTCTAGTCTCTTAAAGATTTCCAGAGTCAGAAAACACAAATTTTCATCAGTCTAATTCCAATGTGGGGTTGTTCTGAAATTCTTATAATCTCTCCTGTGACAACAAATATTTATTTAGCTTTCACCTCTTTAAATTGCTTTACATACTTGAAGATATAAGTCAGTCTTTAATCTTTCTTTGCCAGTCTGGCCAACCACAAATTCTTTGAATGTGTCCTCAGAGGATCCATTTTTCTTTTAATAATTTTCTTCCTTGGCTTTTGAGGTCCTCTCCTCCTGATTCTCTCTTGCCTACTCTTTCTCAGTTTCCTTAGGTAGCGCCTCTTTCACAACTTAAACAATGGCATGTGCCCCAGGGGTACATCCTCCTCGATAATTTTTTTTATTATTACTAAATACTGGTGATTCCAAAATAATATCTCCAAGTATTCGCAAGTATTCTCCTGAGTGCTAAATCTATATTTCCAAATACTTACTGGATGTCTCAAAAGCATCTCACATGACCAAATGTACCTTCCTCCCAAACCTGTCTCCATCTTGTATTTCCTTTTGCAGTTATAATAGCATTTTCCACCCTATTTCCAAAGATAGAAACCTAGAAGTCATATTTGACTCCTCCTCTCCCTCAGACTCTTATACTTCATTTGTCACGAAGTCCTGTCCATCTGCATCTTGACTCCAAGCTTTCTCTTAACCCCTAAGGCCACTGTCTTAGGACAGGCCTTCATTATTTCTCTCCTGCATTATTGTAATAGCCCCAAATCAATCTTCCTGGCTCTAGCTCTCCACGCCGTCAAAAGGGCTGTGCCTTTCTAAAACAGTCAGTATGATATAATGTCAATAAATGGGCTTCATGGGCAATGGACACAGATTCAAATTCCAGTTTTGGTACCTGCAAGATGGGTAAACTTGGGCAAGTCACTTAATTTTTCTGGGCTCAAATCACTCCTTCAGACAGAGATTGGATTGGTGGTTACCAGAGGGGAAGGGAGGAGGGAGGAGGGTGAAAGGGATAATTTGGTACATGTGTGTGGTGATGGGTTGTAATTAGTATTTGGGTGGTGAACATGATGTAATCTATGCAGAAATAGAAGTACAATGATGTACACCTGAAATTTTTACAATGTTATAAACCAATGTTACTGCAATAAACAAAAAATTAAAAAAAAAAAAAAATCACTCCTTCAATTTCTCCTAATCAAATCACTCCTAATCAAATCACTCCTTCAATTTTTCTACTGGTTTCAAACAGGGGTGGGGTGGACGGGAGTGTTCTAAGATTATTGACAGTTGTAGCAATATTCATTAACACATCTCTTATCAATGTGTACCTCTCATCAATGTATATGTGTATGTACCCATTCACAAGAAAGAGAGAATTTAAAGTCTATTATACATATATTTTTTTAAGCTGTTTTTCCTTTTTTTTTAAATGTGCAATTTTTTTTTGAGGAAGATTGGCTTTGCACTAACATCTGTTGCCAATCTTCCTCTTTTTCTTTTTTCTCCCCAAAGCCCCAGTACATAGTTGTGTATCATAGCTGTAGAGTTGTAGCTCTTCTATGTGAGATGCCACCTCAGCACGGCTTGATAAGCAGTGAGTACATCCACATCCAGGATCCAAACCGACAAACCCCTGGCCACCAAAGCAGAACGGGTGAATTTAACCACTACACCACCAAGCTGGCCCCTAAAGTATAGTATATTTTTAATATTTACAAACAAGCCTTTTTTGTGTGTGTGTGAGGAAGATGAGCCCTGAGCTAACATCCATGCCAATCCTCCTCTTTTTGCTGAGGAAGACCGGCCCTGGGCTAACATCTGTGCCCATCTTCCTCCACTTTATATGGGACGCTGCCACAGCATAGCCTGACTAGCGGTGCGTCAGTGCGTGCCTGGGATCCAAACCCAGGCCGCCAGCAGTGGAGTGTGTGCACTTAACCACTATGCCATGGGGCCGGCCCCTATAAACAAGCCTTTTAAAAATTCAATTTTTAGATTATAGCAAAGTGGTAAGATACAACATTAATATCCAAATCCTACTGATTTCTTATACACCAGCAATTAACAATTGGAATCTGAAACTAAAAACAACACCATTTACATTAGCACCAAAAATTTTTAAATACATAGGTATAAATCTAACAACATATGTGCAAGATCTATATGAAGAAAACCACAAAACTCTGATGAAAGAAATCAAAGAAGAACTAAATAAATGGAGAGAGAGTCCATGTTCATGGATAGAAAGAATCAATATTGTAAAGATATCAATTCCTTCCCACTTGAGCTATAGATCCAATGCAATCTCAATCAAAATCCCAACAAGTTACTTTGTGGATATTGACAAAATGATTCTAAAATTTATATAGGAGAGGCAAGAGACCCAGAATAGCCAACATAATATTGAAGGAAAAGAACAAAATCAGAGGACTGACACTACCTGACTTCAAGACTTACTATAAAGCTACAGTAATCAAGACGACGTGATATTCGTGAAGGAACAGACAGAAGATCAATGAGACAGAATACAGATCCTAGAAACAGATCCACACAAATACAGTCAACTGATCTTTGACAAAGGAGTGAAGGCAACCCAACAGAGAAACGATAGTCTTTTCAACAATGGCGCTGGAGAAACTGGACATCCACATGCAAAAAAATGAATCTAGACACAAACCTTATACCTTTCACAAAAATTCACTTGAAATGGGTGATAGATCTAAATGTAAAATGCAAAACTCTAAAACTTCTAGAAGATAATATAAGAGAAAATCTAGGTGACAATGGATTTTACAATGCATTTTTAAATATCACACCAAAAGCATGATCCATGAAAGAAAAAATTGATAAATTAGACTTCACTAAAATTAAAAACTTTTGCTCTGAAAAAGACACTGCTAAGAGAATGAAAAGATAAGCCACAGACTAGATGAAAATATTTGCTCTATGTGATGTCTTAGTCCATTCAGGCTGCTAGAACAATAAATACCATAGATGGAGCGGCTTATAAACAACAGAAATTTATTTCTAACAATTCTGGAGGCTGGAAGGTCCAAGATCAAAGTGTCAGCAGATTTGGAGTCTGGTGAGAACCTGCTGGGTATCTTCTTATCTTGTCCTCACATGTGGAAGGGAGAGGGAGCTCTCAGGTCTCTTTTATAAGTGCACTAATCCCATTCATGAGTGCTCCGTCTTCATGACCTAATCATCTCCCAAAGGCCCCACCTCTAAAAACCATCATATTGGGGATTAGGTTTCAAAATATGAATTTGGGGGGACATAAACATTCAATCTATAGCATCTGTTAAAGGATTGGTATTTAAAATATACAAAGAACTCTTAAAATTCAACAACAAGAAAGCACACAACCCAATCAAAAAGTGGGCAAAAGAGCTGAACAGACACTTCACCAAAGAGGGCAAATAAGCATATGAAATATGCTCAACATTATGTCATCAGGGAATTGCAAATTAAAACAATGAGATACCACTACACACCTATTAGGACGGCTAAAATACAAAACACCAAATGTTGGTGAGGATGTGGAACAACAGGAACTGTTACTCATTGCTGGTAGGGAATGGTACAGACACTTTGGAAGACAGTTTAGCAGTGTCTTACAAAGGTAAACATATTGTCACCATATGATCCAGCAATTGCTTTCCTAGGTATTTACCCAAATGAGTTGAAAACTTATATCTACACAAAAACCTGCACATGAATGTTTACAGCAGCTTTATTTGTAATTGCCAAAAATTGGAAGCAAACATGTCCTTCAATAGGTGAATGGATAAACAGACTGTGGTACAACCAGACAATGGAGTATTACTCAGTGCTAAAAAGAAATGAGCTATCATGCAATGAAAAGACATGGAGGAACCTTAAATGAATATCATTAACTGAAAAAGTTACATACTGTACAACTTCAGCTATGTAACACTCTGGAAAAGGCAAAGCTATAGATCCAGTAAAAAGATCAGTGGTTGCCAAGGGTTTGGCGAGGAAGCAGAGAGGGAAAGGGATGAATAGTAGAACACAGGTGATTTTTAGGGCAGTGAAACTATTCTGTATAATAATGTAATAGTGGAGACACGACATTATGCATTTGTCAAAACCCAGAGAACTGTATGACACACACCAAAAAACCCTAAAGTAAACTATAGACTTTAGTTAATAATGTGTCAATATTTCTTCATCAGTTGTAACAAATGGACCACACTAACACGAGCAAGACATTAACAATAGGAGAAATTAGGGGTGTGGTTGGCAATCTAGAAACTCTCTCTGTACTTCTGCTCAACTTTTCTATAAGCCTAAAACTGCTTTAAAAAACAAGGTTTACTAATTCTTTAAAAAAGCAATAGGAGATCAGAAAAAAAGGAAAAAAATTCAGGCTTTACTCAGGAGCCAAAAGAGAAAAGGCAGAATCCTGTGGCCAAGGGCTGAAGGACAGTGGGTCCAGCCTGCTGGAGATCCAGAGAACAGGGGTGCTCTGGGCAGAGGCTTAGAGACAGCAGGACCAGATGTCAGAAGCAGCAAAGCGGAACCTGGAGGGTGGACACAAGAGTGTCAAAGTGGTTCTCAAATCTGTCTGCCCATTAGAATTATCTGGGGAGCTTTTAACACTCCTGAAGCCTAGGCTGAACCCCAGACCAAGTAAATCAGGATTTCTGGGGATGGGGCCCAGGAATAGTCAGTTTTAAATGTCCCCAGGGGATTCCAATGTGCAGACAAATTTGAGAACCACTGACCTAAGATTAGCCTTCCACGTGTTGACTCAACTGAGGTGACAATATTGGTTCAGTGGATCCAGGTGAGCAGAGACATGGATACACCTGGGATGCAGGATTAGAGGGCAGGTAAGAATAATATTTAGCTATTTAATGTAAGCAACACAATCATCACAAACAAGACTATATAATATTGCCTTACCCATCTGGGGCTCCCCATTGTTTTTTAGGTCTAGAAAGATCTTGGATTCTCTTCCTAGAAAAAAAACTAACAAATACCAACTGATTAACTCAAAGAGAATGCTTAACAAATATGGTTACATTAGATGATGCCTACTCAAACAAATCCCGTCTGAGGGGGATAAACAACCCAATGCCCTATTTGATGTGATTTGAAGAGTGCTGAAAAGCTCCAAGTACTAAAAAATATTTTGGACTCAAAATTCTCACTCCTCGAATCATTAATAATATAGTACATAATGAAACATAGACAACAAATATGCAATAAAACCAAGAGCATATTGTCTCCAGAAGACCTCAGATAAAATGCACACTTAATGGGAAAAACTCTCAATTCTCATATTAAATTAATTTGCAAATGGCTTGATGGCATTGGATTCTGATGAGATTGCACAGATAAATTTCAGACAGAATATCTGGCTTTGGGAAAACTACGAAATATACTTTGGGTACCGCTCAACCCCCTTTCTTCCCTATTCTGTTCCCTTGGACCTTTCCTGATTGTTCTGAATCCTCCTAAAGCTGGGACAGTTTGTGCCCCCCAAGTGTCCATGGGTTCCTCTACATTTCCCAGCCTCCCTTGCAGTAGTTTGGAGCCATGGGACTAGTTATGTCTAACTTCAGCAGAAGTGTTGGTATCACTTCCAGGGCAATGCACATAAGAGATAGTGTGTCTCCTCCATCTCTCTTTCCCTGTTGCAGTGACTCTGGAAGCTACGTATTCTAGACGGCATAGCTACAAGACAGAGGAGGGCCAGCCAACTCACATTGGGCTATGACGTGAGGGAGAAATAAACTTTTATTGCATTAAGTCATTGAGAGTTTTGTATCTTGTTTGTTACTGCAGCATGGCCTATCCTATGCAGACTAATACACCACCTATGTTATTGTAGCTCATATTATAACTATTTATGTAGTTGTTTGGAGTTCAAAAGGTCCAATAAATAACACCCCTTTTTTGCCCACCACCATTAGGAACTAAGTGAAAAATAGGCACAGGATTTGGACAAATAGAATAAAAATACTTTATTATTGATAAAATGATACTGAAGAGAGTAGTGTGGATCCCTGACATACTCGAATTGAACTTGTCCCCCAAAGCTGCAAGCCTCCCCCTCCTCCTGTAGGGGCTAAGTTTGCTATGTGACAGAAAGCAGATCACAAAGATCACTCACTGTAGACGGGCAGGTCCCAAAGGGATAGGACCCAGAAGGGGCCAGTTCTCTCTCCCAACTCCACCAAACAGACGTCATTCCCACCCCCTGGGGAGTCTAATTAAGGGATAAGGCAAGAGGCCAAGAGAATTACTCAAGGGAAGTGCTTCTATGTACAAAAAAGGGATGTGACTGAGGAAAAGCATTCTCCCTAATACTTGCCTGAGCTCTTTAACAGGCTCTAAATTCTTTGTGTTGCAATAAGCCCTGGCCCTGGCGTCGGGGAGGATTCAGGCCTGACACGGCATGCACAAACCCTTATGTGAAGATGTGGTCTCCTCAGTTAAATGGTGACTGATGCATCATGAAGCCCCTTTCAGAAAGTGGGAGGAGGCCAGTGGGGATTAATAGTCAGGAACTCCCAAAATTGCACATTCACAAAACTGGCCATCCACGCTGAACATCAAGCTAAAATCCTTCAATCAGATTATCTACTTTCATGTTATTCTGTGTTTAACACACTTATGTTGCCCTCCAGCCTTTAGTAATGACTTACTTGCCCCTTACTGCTTTGGCCTAGCTGTGCTAGCGGAGTAATGCAAGTAGGGATTCTATGCACACAAACCAGCCCACTGTATTAACACTGGAACAGTTCCCCTGAGGCCAGTGTGGTGGTAACAGCAACCAATCTTAGGGACATGGAACACTTGGTCCAATAATTCTGCTCGTATAAGAGACTATTATTCCAGTACCAACACTGGAGATTCTAAGTTTTATTATTTTAAAATGAAGTGCCATTTTCTTATACCTGATCAAGTTACTTAATGCTCTGAGCTTTAGTTCATTTGTTCAACAAATATTTATTGAGCACTTACTGTGTACCGAGTAGTGTTCTAGGGCTGGGAGTACATTGGTGAATAAAATAGACAAAAATCCTTGCCTTCAAGTCAGAAAGACAATAAATGAAATAAATTAAATATATAGTATATTAGATGGCAATAAGAGCTATAAAGAAAAATAAAGCAAGTAAGGGAGACAAGGAGTATGCGATGGGGAGAGGGTTGTGATTTTAAATAGGTGGCCAAAGAAGGCATTACTGATCAGGTTACATTTGAACAATGACTAGCTATACAGATTTTTCAGGGAAAGATTATCCCATTCCAGCAGTAATAGCAAGTGGAAAGGCCCGGGGGCAGAAGCATACCTATATGTTTCAAAAATAACAGGACGCCAGTGCAGTTAGCCTCAACTATAAACAAAAATAACTGTATCCATCTCAAAGGGTTGTGTGCCTAGCACATTCTAACCACGAAGTGGATACTCAATAAATGTTAGCTCCTTTTTCCTTTCTCACTTGTAGCACCTAACATGATACCTTGTATGTAGTAAACACTCAGTATATGCTAATTGAGTTCAATTGAATTGGTATTTAACTGTTTAAAATATAAACTTATTTTAAGTGCCCTATAAGGGAAAATCATGGAACTATCCATAAACCAGATAAAGGATACATTTAAGATTGTTTAAATTGTTTTATCACTCAAAGATGTTGCTAGGTAAAATACAGGTTTGAAGGCAGTAAGAATGGTACCCACCTCCACACCTTTTTCCCCCCAATGTCTCATACTCTGGACTCTTCTAACTCCCCCCTTTTCTATTGCAACTAACCTATCTGCATTTTGTCCCTCAGGACTCTGCTGCTTAATTCAAATTTCCAAATCCTTAGAGGATCTATGAAGATAATAATGAGAGTCCACCACCTTCAGAACATTTCCAAAAGTCAAACGGAATCCTATCCCACCCCCAGTCAGGCTGCAGATGCTATGCAAAATACCAAATTCATTTCTGAATTACATTGTCTCCATATATTACTTCACACTGATAGGAGACTCCGATTAATACTTATATGTGTCCTTAGTTTTTAAAAAAATTAACCAATGTTTTGTGAACAACAACGAAAAATCTTTCAAAACATGAGATTGTAGTAGTGGGTAGAGATAACTAAAAGATTGTTTGGTAGTGAAACATTTGGGGTCTGCCAAATAACTATAATGATGCAACCCCCAAGCCATGCCAGTTAATACCTAGAAACAATGAAGACACTGTCCCTTGCCAGAAAAAAAATCTATATCCTTATTTAACTGAAGAATGGCTTTGCCATGCAGGTACTGTGTGAGCCCTGCTAGATAGCCTGAGCCAACTTTCCAGGGAGGGTGGCTAGGTGAGGAGAAAGAAAGCCTCAGTTGCAGACAAAACATCTTATTAGATATTAACCTTTTCAAGCAAGTTAGCTTCTGGCTTCCATCATCATGTCCAAGCCAAGATTTCCCTCACTAACTTTTCTTCACCAGCTAAATGTTTTTTTAATGCATCATTTTATACAAAACTATTGATAGTTTCCTAGTTTATTCCTGTAGATACTTAAATTGGGTTCTTATTTCAATTGGAAATAATCTCATTAACATTCGATAATTCTCTGTAGAGGTCTAACACTTCTCCTCTTCATTCTCTTATTGTGCATTATGTCACCATAGCTACATCTCCAACCTACATCTCTTCATCTTAACACAGGCTTCCCTTCTCTCTTGGGTATTGCATTACCTCACAATGTCTAGTCGTGATCCTGTGCAGAAACAAAAGAATGTGGTTGAGGGATTTTAACTCTTTTTTTTCTTCTTTTATTTTCTCCCCAAAGCCCCAGTAGATAGTTGTATGTCATAGTTGTACATCCTTCTAGTTGCTCTATGTGGGACACCACCTTAGTATGGCTTGATGAGCGATGCGTAGGTTCACGCCCAGGATCCAAACCAATGAACCCCGGGCCACCAAAGCAGTGCACATGAACTTAACCACTATGCCACTGGGCTGGCCCCAGATTTTAACTCTTGAAGGTAGATTTTTTAAAATGAGGATTACATTGCTGTCCCATGTCTTCATTGATAATTAGTCTCCTATAGTTTGCCAATAGCTAAGAAAGTTTTTGAAATCCTCAGCTTGGGTGCAGAGCAATAAATATACATTTATATAGCAACAATTATGGAAATGATTTCAGGGTAGAGGGTACCACTAAACTGGTAATTCAAATCTTTCAGTCAAAATGCTCTTTTACATTTCACTATTTTGTTTATATTCAGGAAATATTTTCTTTCATAACAATCAGGGATAGCACATTTGTTTAACAAGAATTTTTAGAGGATGGGGACAGGGATAGATAACGGAGATAGCACAATTTCCTCATAGAATCAAACCAAATTAGGGGCCAGCCCCATGGCCTAGTGGTTAAGTTCAGCACACTCCACTTCGGCAGCTCGGGTTTGGTACCCGGGTGTGGACCTACACCACTCATCGGCGGCCATGCTGTGGCAGCAACCTACATACAAAATAGAGGAAGATTGGCACAGATGTTAGCTCAGGGCTAATCTTCCTCAGCAAAAAAAAAAATCAAACCACATTAACCAATCATACAAAAGCAATAAGTAGTATAACAACAACAACAAAAATTTTAAAAAACACTCTTTTCACAGGCTTTTTTTTTAAAGTATAAAACTTACTAGGTATAAACTATTTCACTGTCTATTTTGCCACAGGAGAGTTTGCTCACTCAGCACACATTTATTTGAAGTAATGTGGTATTTTAATGGACACTTGGTAATATCCAGTAATCGTTAGTTCTACCAGCTGTTCTCTTAGCCACCATACAACCTTGGCAAAGTGACGTAATTTCTCAATTTCATTTTCTCTCAGTAAAATCTAGTTGATTACACCTCCCCTACAGACTCCTCAGGATTCTTGTGAGGAAAAAAAAATTTTTAACTGCAAAGCATTACATAAAAATAAAGTAGCAGTATTTACTGCCTGAAAGAGGTGAGGAAAAAACAACTAGAAAGTATAGTAAACAGGAAATGCAAAATAAGTCTAAACAATAACAATAAACGTAAATGTCAAACAATAACAACAAATATGAATGGTTTTAACCCACTTATTAAAAGAGTCAATAAAAATAAAATCTGGTAGTATTTACCTCTCATGTATATGAACCATTGATACGAACCCTTGGTACTTCTCTTTAATGATTCTATTCTGCTATATCTTAGCCAAACCAAGAGTACATACCTATTTTCAGGAGGCATCTATTTTGTACATTTTACGTACACACACATACCCACTTTTTTTCCTCATAGAGGGCACTTTCTTGAGATTTCATTAGCTACTGTAGTTGAATGAGAGGCAAGGGGAGATTGGGATACGTTGACCTGGGGCTTCACAAAATCTACGACATGAGGTTGTCAATGTAGAATCCAAGTACCTTAAAGGTTCAGACCTAGTATGTAACACATCTAGTATCTAGCAAACAAGTAAAATACAGTGAATATAAGGAGAGTTCTCCTACATCTCAGTCTTTCCCACCTCACTTCCAAATCACTTTCTCTCTCTTCTTTCCTTTTCCCACACTCATTAGATGGGGCCTTACGAAAAAGGGAAACTACAGGAATCCTCTTCTCAAAACTCCTGAGATAGGCCTTTCACTTCAAATGCCCCACATTGAGACTGTCCATCCAGCCAGATTGGCCTACCAGTTTAAGTCTGGGAGAAAAGTACTGTGCCTATGGCCTTACCATTTCCTTACAAAGTCACAGGGACCAGAATCTGCAAAGAGAAAAGTAAAAGCAAAAGTTAGATTCAATAAGAATCAAAGATATGATAAAGATAGCATCACAAATCAACAGAGAAAGGAGCTAGGAAACGTAACTATTTAGGGAAACAAACAAACTAAATCTGTCATGCCATGTACCAAAACAAACCACAGGTAAATCAAGGAGTTAAATATTTTTTAAAAATCGAATGGAGCAAAAGTAAGAGAATATCTACTCAATCACTGGATTTTAATCTCTTAGAGTTAAAGGTGACAAAAGATATAGAGGAAAAGTACAGATTAAAATATTTAAAACAAAACTTCTCAGTGTCAAAAGTCAAAACTTGAAGAGGAAATAAAAATTTGGAGGACTATTTGGCAACAAATATACTAAAGGCTTAATAGTCAATATTTGAAGAGTATAAAAGTATAGATGAATAAGGAAAACAGTAAGGTAGGTGTCAAAAGTTAAACGGACAAAGGATAGGAACTGAATTCATATATGACCTGTAAAGGGCTAATAAACTTAAGAAAAAGCTCAGGGGCCGGCCCGGTGGCGCAAGTGGTTAAGTGCGCGCGCTCCGCTGGGGTGGCCCGAGGTTCACTGGTTCAGATCCCAGGCGTGCACCGACGCACCACTTGTCAAGCCATGCTGTGGCGGCGTCCCATATAAAGTGGAGGAAGATGGGCACGGATGTTAGCCCAGGGCCAGTCTTCCTCAGCAAAAAAAAAAAAAGAGGAGGATAGGCAGATGTTAGCACAGGGCTGATTTTCCTCACAAAAAAAAAAAAAGAAAAAGCTCAAACTTTCTTGTAATTAAAACATGCAGGGCCGGCCCGGTGGCTTAGAGGTTAAGTGCTCGCACTCTGCTGCTGGCTGCCCAGGTTAGGATCCCGGGCGCGCACCGACACAACACTTCTCTGGCCATGCTGAGGCCAAGTCCCAAGTACAGCAACTAGAAGGATGTGCAGCTATGACATACAACTATCTACTGGGGCTTTGGGGGAAAAAAATAAATAAATAAATAAAAATTTTAAAACATGCAAATAAAAAATGAGATATTTTTTAAACTATCAATTTGTAAAAATTTTTTGCACAGGATAATGATACTGGAAAGGTAAGACGAGATGAGTACTCTTGTGTACTGCTGGTGGAAATCTGAATTAGTACACTTTATGAAAAATGAGTAGGCAGTATGAGTCAGCAATCCTTATACAGTGTCCCTTAATCCAATTCTACTTCTAGAAATGTACCCTAAAGAAATAATTCCAAGTGTGGGCAAAGATTTATGCACAAAAATGTTCACTGCAGTATCTTTAACAGTGGAAAAGTAGATACACCTGAAATGTCCAAAACAGAAGAAATGGTTAAGCAAATTAAAAAGCATGTGTAGAAGGACTTTTTTTTACATGTGGGAAACTGTAGGAGATCATACAGGCCAAGTTATCCAAAGGTCTATTATAACAGGCCTCATAATGACAGATTGTTTTAGACAGTTTCTTCTTGGGAGTTTTTAATCACATCCGAGAGTTCTGAAATAACATTTTCTACCCTTTGGAGCATTTTGGGTAAAGGAAAGTGGGTGTGCTCCAGCGTCAGACAGACATGGCTCAAACCCCAGTTTTGTTACTTACTCAGCTGTACAATCTCTGGAAAATTACTTAACTTCTCTGAGACTCAGTTTCCTCTTCTCAGATAGGAGGCTAATAGGTAGGTCTGTGTAAAGATAACTGACGTATACGTAAAGCACCTTGCACATAGTAGATGCAGAGAGTAGACAAACAGTAGTTAGAACTGTTAGTTACAACTTCAGTGTATCAATGGCTTCAACAGAGCACTGCAGGAAACACAACAATCAAGTATGGACAGTGCTTCTACCACATGCAGCATGGTGCCAGGGCTGAGAGAACAAAAACCAGTGGTCTCTCTTCTCAAGGAGTTGACAGCCTTGTAGGAGAAGGCTATGAACTTTAAAAAAAAATACGGAAATGTGCTTTTGAATTCAGATATCTTCTATTGCTCTACTTAAAAAGTAGAGCCTTAAAAAGGCTAAAGTGACTCAGACAGGAGGAAAAGGGGAGAGTAGTCTACGAAAATGCCCCTTGTGCCCAGTTATGCTGTCACCTCTGAAAGATGCAGCCGTTTCTATGGACTCTTCATGTGTTACCAAGCTTGGTTTCCCGCTTCATGGACAGAGGTCAGAGAGTCAGTATAATACTGAATCAATCCTAAAAAACCTTCTATAAATACTGATAATATGAATGAATAATGCTCTTTTCTATTGCCCTTTCACGCTATAACTTCTCCCACAGGTACAGCTTTCATTCTTTATTTTATAAAACACACTTTTGATGTTATCACACCAATTGGTAGGATGGAATAGCTCTTGGGTGGCTGTTGTTAGCTAACGTCCCAAGCAAAGAGGGGTTACAATGGTCTCCAAACTTGTCTGCACATTAGAATCACCAGGGGATCTTTTTAAACTTGCAGGTCCCAGGCCACACCCCAGACCAATTAAATCACAATGGGGGTTTGAGGGGTGGGACACAGGCATTGGTATGTTTTGAGGCAGACAATCTGGGAACTACTACCATATTGTTTAATGGGTAAGACTACTGACTCAGGAATCAGACTGCCAGGAACCAGATCCTGGCTCTAACCTCTGATCTTGGGCAAGTGTACTTACTCTCTCTGTACCTTGGTTTTCTCATGTGTAAAATGGGTTCTTACCTCAAAATGTTGTTGTGTGAAAGTTAAATAAGATAATACATGTAAAGCACTCTGTATAGTGCCCAAAACACAGTGAATACACAACAAATAGTACCTATTATTAATCCTAAAAATTCAAGAATTAAGATTCTGCTTAAATATCTGTAAATTAAAAAACATTTGTTTAAGGAACTGTTAAGTTTAAGTAACTGTTCAGGAAGCGTTTACTATTAAGGGTTCCAACTATAAAAATTAATATCAGTGAAATGAGAAACTAACTGTGAACATGTACTCATATGTATTTTCATTGGTTTCTTTATGTATTTATATCCTTCCCTCAGTTCTAAAAGGATTTGAGGTTGCTTACATGAACACATACACTACAAGAGGATATTATCTGTTTTAAGACGAAAAATTGAAGGAGGCAGAAAAATAGAGATGGGAGAAGGGAAAGGAAAATAAAATGAAACAAAAGAAAAATGTATAATAAAGCCCAGTACAGTTGTACCTGAGCATTCTACCACTGAAAGCAAAAAACACCAACATTTCCTAATATTGAAATCTGAAATAAATTTTTCTTGTGAGGTCTCATTGGTGTTACATAGGCACAAAATAAATTATCAGGCCTGCTAATGGAATGGTGAAGAGAATCCTCCTTTCTTACTTTTTATCCTTCTTCAAACTTTACTCTTGATATATATGTTTCACAAAACTAAGTTAAATTAAGAAAAATAAGAAAATTTCCAGTAAAGTATCATAAATTACTGAATATAAGGCAAGATTTTTTTCCCAAAAATTATTCCTCAGAGAAGAGGAGGTTACCTTAGATGGAAGTTCTTACAAGAACCTATCTTATGAGGCATTTTCTCAATTATTTTATTTTCTCACCAAAAACTGGCCAAGGAAAACATATTAGCCTGAAACAACTTTCATTATTGCTAGAATGGAATAATTTTAGAGCTCTCCCAACAAAAATTAGTATTTAGAGTGACGTCAGCATCATGGCAGAGTGAGCTTCTCCCACTGAACTCTCCCCCTCTAAGACACAACAAAAAGGACATTCATATTCCAACAGAAGCTATTCACACAACACAGGGGATGTCTGAGGCACCCAGTCAGCCATACACCCGAGGACTGGGATGCTGGAATCTCCAGAGTAAGTGGAAGGAGGTAAGAGGAGCTCCCTTTCTTCCCCAAGGACTGCGACCCAGAGACTGAGACCACGCGGCTCTCAGAGGAGGGGGAGGGGCGGCTCGCCGCATGAAAACGGCCCTCTCCAAGACCCCTCACAGCCTGAGGAGATCCCCCTACGGAGGGAGCGGAACTGTTGCGAGGGTAGTTTCAACAAGCTAGCCCCTCAGGGGAGCAGAGAGAGACAGCGAGGCGAGAAACTTCTGAGATCGGGGAGGGGAAAGTAAGCTCCCCAACCCCGACCCCGGCCTGGCCGACTGGTGCGTCAGCACAGCGGCGCTTCAGCTCAGCCCCATCCCCAGAGGCAGTGGCCCCCAGGCGCCCGGCCTGACCAGCAGTGGGGCGAGCCTGCACCCCCGCACCAGAGGCGGCAGCAGCTTAGTCCCCACCACGCCACAGCCCCAGCTGTTCCAGCTGGACCAAGCCACGGCCCCAGCTTCCCCGGCTCCACCGTGCCACAGCCCCAGCTCTTTCAGCTGGAACGTACCCCGCCCCCAGCTCCTTCGGCTTGACCCTACCCCCTACCCCCGGCTCCAGCTGCTTCGGCTTGGCCTGTGCGCAGGCTCCAGCTGACTTGATGCCAGCAACTTCGGCCCACCGCACTCCAGTTCCAGCTTCTTCGGCCCAGCACACTCCAGTTCCAGCTTCTTCGGCCCAGCACACTCCAGTTCCAGCTTCTTTGGCCCAGCACACTCCAGTTCCAGCTTCTTTGGGCCAGCACACTCCAGTTCCAGCTTCTTTGGGCCAGCACACTCCAGTTCCAGCTTCTTCAGCCCAGCGGCGCTCCAGCTCCTCCTTCTTCAGCTCAGTGCACTCCAGTTCCAGCTTCTTTGGCCCAGCAGCACTTCAGCTGCAGCGGCTTCAACCCACCCGCACCCAAGCCCCAGCTGCTTCGGCCTAGCTGCGCTCCAGCTCCAGCTGTTTCCACACAGCACCCCTAGCAGCCTCCACTCAGCTGATCAGCCAGACCACAGATCAGCCAGGGGCCGACAAGAGTGCCCACAGATTGAGGCGGGCCAAAATACCCAGCCCTTGACCCCCACCCAGCGGCAGCAAGAGGAAACTGCGACTGTATATTTTCACTATGAGGAAAGGTAAGCCAATGCCAACAGGC